CAGAGGTTCTAGGTGGCATTCAGACAGTGAGCCAAAAGTCAGAAGTTCTGTATTATGCTAAAATAGTGAGTGAACATCAGAAATTCAGTGTATTAACATCGTGTGAAAATCAGAAATTCTGAGTGTTAAAACAGCGAGTGGAAGCATCAGAAGTTCAGTGTGCTTAACATTAAGAAAGCCTAGAAGTTCTGTGTATTTAACGTGTAGGGAGAACTCAGAAGTTCTGTGATGTGCTAAAACAGTGAGTGAGCATCAGAATTTCTGTGTGTTAAAATAGTGTGTGAGCATCAGAAGTTCTGTGTGTTAAAACAGTAAGAAAGCCTAAAAGTTCTGTGTGTCAATACAGTAAAGAGAACTCAGAAGTTCTGCGTGCTTAAACAGTGAGAAAATCCTAGAAATTATGTGTGTTAAAATGGTGAATGAAAAACATTAGTTTTGTGTTACATTTCAACTGTTTCCTCATATTAATCAGCACATCAGCAATTTATTCAGTCCTTAACAACAAATCAGGAGGATAAAAACACAGAAGTTTATAGAAGTTCTAATCCTAATTTTGAGCCTAGCCTTAATCAAGAAGTTCTGATCCACAGTTTTTTTCTCTTATGCAATGATATGGACAACATCAATACTATGATATTTACATATTTAATGATGTTCTGAATGAGAAGATACAAAGTCAGAAACACTTACCTTGAATCTGAAGTGTGTGCTTGGGACTTGAACTGCTGCCTTCAAATGTTCTGGAGTCAGTAAGAGCAGCGGAAGAGAAAATGCCAAGTTCTTTGATTCAAAGGGAAGAACAAAGGTTTGATTTTCTGTTTGGGAATTCTGGATTTTTACGAAGGTTTCATATTTTTCTTTTCTCTCTTTTTATGATCTTCTCTTTCCAAAAACCAGCCCATTGAACGTGTGATGAAGAAAATTATTTATAAATGGGTTTGTTGTTCTTTTGTGGGGAAAAACAAATGGGATTCAAACCTTTTTGCTATACTGTTTCATTGCTTTTTAATAACAGTTTTCGTATGCTAATTTGATGCAAATATGGGGTTTGAGAAAGTGCAGGCATGGACTGGATCAACAACTGATTGCAGAACTGTGATATAGCAGGGCAGCAGGATGCTTAAACGAGGTTTTGGGATTTGGTGATGTTCTGATCGTAGAAGATCAGAAACGTAACTCGAAGGGTGATGCTTTGATCGAAGCATATGCTGAAGAGTCATCTTCTGATTGAAGAACTATGTTCTGAACCATGTTTGCAACTTCTGACTACACTTGCATGGAGGTTGGCTCAGAAGTTCTGAAGTATCATATTCTCTTAACACTTGGAAAATTTTCTAAATGTTTAGAAATTTGATTTTTTTCAAAGTAATTTCTGACTTCTGATTTTTTGATGAACCAATTTCATGTCTTGATGAAATATAATTGTTGAAACTTGATTTTTGATCTAAAAGTCAAAGTTTGACTTTTCAGTGTGCTTTTGACCATTTTTCCCTTGTGGATGGTTTTTTTGAAAAGTTGTAATTCAAGACTTGAAACTTGATAGAAGCAAACCTGAGAGTCTAAGATGATCCTTTGAGAAATGAGAGGGAAAATTTTGGGGTACAACAGGATCCCTCAATCCCCTCCACTAGAAACTGAAGGCACTTTAGACAATGATTACATAGATGATACTCAAATGGTGCATCTGGTCCCCGAAACACAAATTCCAGTTGCTCATAAATCTCAAGTCCGTGACTTCCTACAAAAGTCCGAGGAAAACATGGTCGATCTTGGCATTGAAGATGATCTAGGTATTGATCTATTCCCTGATAAGGATTTTCGTTTAGTCGCATCTAAGAAAAAGAAAAACAAGAAAGCCAAATCACATGACAATACTAGACCTATGTCTAGTCTTCAAAATTTGTCCTTATGAAGAGCCTCTTTTGAAGCATCAGAGTTGTGGCAAAAAACTCCTCTAGGATTTCCCTTATGAGTCTTATTCAAAACAATAATCCTGATTTTGTATTCATTGCGGAACCTTGGATGGATTTTTCTAAATTCCCTAAAAGGCGGCTGGACATATTTAATTTAAAACCTTTTTGCCTTTAATAATAGGGTTGGTCTTTTGCCTAATTTCTGGTATTTTTGCAAAGATAACATTAATCCCAATATTATATCTATTGATGACCAACAAATTTCATTCACTATTAACATGCACAATGTAAATTTTGGTTTTTCTATTATTTATACTTCTACTTGCTATATTCATAGAAGGAATCTTTGGAATAAATTTATCTAACATTTCTCCTAGCATTCCTTGGTGTTTCATAGGGGACTTTAATGCAATTATTAGTTGTAATGAGTATAAAGGAAATAGTGTCCCTTCCAATAATTCCATGAATGATTTCTTTAATTGGTCTGACTTAAACAAATTTATTCACCTCCCTACTGTGGGCAATTTCTTAACTTGGAGTAATGATAGAAGAGGTAAACATTTGAATGAGAAAAGGTTGAACATAGTGGTGTGTAATTTGGATATGCTTGATGTTTGCAACATTGTGGTTTGTAATACTCTTCATAAATTAAAATATGATCATTACCCCATTTTACTCACATGTGTTTTTGACAAGGTAAAGGTAAATTACAGCTCTCAATTCAAATTCCTTAAGATGTGGACTCTTGATGATGACTGTGTTAGAGTTATAAAAGAGGCTAGGAAAATTAAGGTGCATGGCTGCCCTATGTACATTCTTGACAAGAAACTTCGTATTTTGAAGTTAATGCTTAAAGATTGGTGATCTGGACTGGGCCCGCACTTTCCCCACTGATGGGGAGACCCAATCAAACACCCTTTCATAAGGCCAAAAAAAAAGCAGCCCAAGTTAGGGATCGTTGGATAACTCCCCACGTGTTTGTTGGGGAATGTGACCCACGTGGCCGTATCACCACCATCATAATTTCTCTCTAGGAATCATGGGTCCATCACCTGTTCTCTCAGAGCAGTTGACCAGGGGGGAGTCCACGTGCTGGACTCCATACACACGTAATCCCTGGCAGTCTTCATTGTTGGGCCTCATCGTGGCCCAACATTGGAGACCTTGGCCCAACACTAGGGGCTATAAATACCCTCTCTCTTGAGAGGATCAGTGTTGTACCTAAAAATTTGCCCTCTCTTTTCTCAATACATTTCACTAAGGACCTCTAATGCTGAAGGATTCTCAAGGAATTGACCAAACAAAATCACCTTCGAAACACTGAGACCACAAATTAGGGTTTTGACTGAGAGCGACTGTTGTACCCCAAAATTTTTCCTCTCATTTGTAAACAAAATGGCTTATGCTTCACCATCATATTCACCATTTTCATTGCATTAGCTCGATGACATGGGATCAAGGGTTTGGCTGGATAAGTGAATACTGCCCAAGAGAAGAAGATCTATCTTCAAAGGTCAAGTAGTTAAGGTCTTCCTATCATAAAATATCATCTCGAGTTATAAGATATATGAGTACATGAGTTCTTCAAGATATGCCAGTTGGATTAGGGTTTGGAGTTATAGTCAACATCTCCTATCTTTGTAATGCAATTAGTGTTCTTGATCGATGACATGATTTAACTGATTTTTTAAGTTTAAGATGGTCTCGTGGTTCTCCATCTATGCTAAAAGTATCGGCATATGGTCTACTGATCTACACACTTTTATCAGAAGAATCGGGGTCGATTGAATAATGAGAGATTTAAGTGTGTATGAATAAAAGTCAACAAAAGTCAAAGGTTGATTAAATGAGATTTTTGGTCAAGATTATTGATAAAAATCGAGATATGAGAAAATTTGTTAAGCGGTTGAGAAAAATCAAAATAATCGGCCGAATTTGAAGTTCCTTGCATTTTAAGTAATGTGGACACTTAAAAATTTTCAAAGGTTTTTTCAAAATATGGCAAACTTCGTGGCCATTTTTAGGGTCCCGTTTAAACTCTAATGAAAAATCTCCGAACATAAAAGTTGAAGATCAGAATCTCCTCTCCAATTTTGATTCAAGAATTATCCCATTTGGTGGATTGTATAGAAAGTTACGAAGTTTAAGTTTCGAGCGCTTGAAAGGCGAGATACTGCCAAAACTTGCTTAGCCAGGCCAGCATTTTGTCGAACAGGTGGCATGCACATGTTTTTAGTGGTTTTTTCCATGAATTTAATTCTCATTTAAAAAAATTTCGAACATAAAAGTTGGAGTGTATTGCGTACCCTTCAGTTTTGGTTTAAATTTCGTTTCGTTTTATGCATCGTGGAGAGAGATATCAAGGCGCAAAGTAGGGAGGTCGAAATGGACAAAACACATGGTGTCACGCATAGGACATGCCTTGCCAGGCCTGAAATTTCGTCGAGTGGTTGCAAGGCATATATTAATGACATTTCTCTATGATTAAGGCCGTTTTTAGATTGGAGGTGAACTATAACTTGTTGTATCATTCGCCCTCTTTCCAACGGTATCAATTTTATTACATTTGGATCATTATCGGGAAAGTTATGAGGTCTTGAAATCGTAATAATGGAGATGATGATTTTTGCATAGTGAACTTGCGGCCACTGCAGCCAGTTTAGGTATCACGACTTCACAGATATTTTTGAGTATGTTTCGAGCATTATTTCAAGAAATCTCCAACGTGAAAGTTGCTCAGACTAATTTTCTCTTCGACTTTAATCTTGAGATCTCATTCTGAGGAATTCTACGTTTAAAGTTATTAAACCATGAAGTAGAGGTTATGAAGTTGATGGATAATTGCCGGTGTTAGAAAAATTACCTGATTTTTCCACTGGCAATGATCATCCAAATATATCACTTGCAATAAGTTCATTGAGCTATGCTAAATGCATTCTGCGAATGCATATGACATGTTTGTGTTTTCTTAAGGAAGCCTTGGGAGAACGTCAAAGCCGTGTATTTGATACTGCTCTTGCAACATAAGCTTTTAATGCTCTTGCTGGAGTGTTTGCTCCAAGTAAAGCATTTAGAAATCAGTTCCAAATGTCACCTGAAACCTATGATACTAGTGCAACTACGCCAAACGATGTAAATAGCTCCAATAAAATCGTGCTCGCCAGAACAACAAAAATTGTTACTTCTGTTTCTGCACTTATTGTTGGTGCAATTATATACGGCGTCACTATCCTGGAGAGAATGTTAACCATTCTCAGGTTAAAGGAGGGCCTGGATGTAGTTCAATATGGGCAAAGCTTGAGATCCAATTGAAATAGAAATGCACATTCAGTTGGGGCCATTAAGGTGGACAGTTCAGTTGAAGTATATCTTCATTGGTTTGGATTACTTGTTGGAAACTGCAGAACCATCTGTGAAGGCTTAGTTGTGGATCTATTGAGTGAACCATCCATTATAACTCTTTCCCGAATGCAGCGTATGCTTCCTCTAAGTTTGGTTTTTCTGCCTGCCTATTCAATATTTGCCTTTGTAATGTGGCGACCTTTTATTATGAACGCTAGTGCAGCCATATGTAAAGACACAAAATCAAATTTGCCAGACTCTCTTTGGCCATAACCGATTCATTCTCCCTCTCTACACGCAACAGCTTCGCTTTCTCTCTCTTTACTATAATAACAACTTCGCACCGTAACCAACGCGCTCTCTCATTTTTCATGTAACAGAAACTCTCTTTTTTTCTCATGACAGTAACAACTGTAAAGAAGAAGAAACTCTCTCTCTCTCTCTCTCTCTTCATTGCGGTAGCACCCTCACTCTCTTCATTATAGTAACACTCCCACTCTCTCCTTCTTTCCACGATGTTAACCAACAACTGTAAAGAAAAAGAAAATCCCCCTCTCTCCTTTCCATCATCTCTAATCCCTCGACTCTCTCACTTCAACCATAACAAAATTCCTCTCTCTTTCTCATGTAATAGAATGGTTCTCTCACTCTCAACCATAACCAAATTCCTCTCTCTTTCTCATGCAACAGAATGGTTCTCTCACTCTCAATGATAACCGAATTGTCATCTCTCTCTCAAGGATAATAGAACCTGGAAGACCTCGCTTTCTCTCTCTTTTCACTTTCCATCATCTTCAACAACCTCGCTCTCCGACTCTCTTTCCATTACGGTAATCTCAACAACGGAAGCAAAAACCTCTTTTATTTCTCACAATGACGTAACAGAAAACTGAAGTGCATCGTAGCGGCTTTATCGTTTTCGTCTTCTTCAATTTGCGGCAAACAAACCAAAGATTACAGCAAGATTCAAGGATTCTGAGGCTATCAATTGTCATCGTCAAGATCATAGGATTGCGGCTGTAGAGTTATTTAAGGGAAGCACAAGACTCGATCGTCGTTACGGTAAGTTTCAAAACCTTTTGATCCGTCGTACTAAATTCTCCATGAGCTAATAAGCATTTCGTCGCATCTGAAGTTGTGCAAATATGCTGACGTTGGTGTTAGACGCATACTTGAGCGCTAGTTTCATTATCTCGCTTTTTTTTTTGTTTCAAGATCCATCGGCGTGATTAAGATTTTGTGAGATCTGAGTTGGTATTAGCAGAATATGAGTCTGAATATATGATCCTTGCGAGATTTCGAGTAAGGAGGCCGTTTCATTCATGTTCTCGTTGAGGTTTCGCGTTGATCACCGCCATGAGAGGCGTCCTTCGCGCCGGAGAAGATGCTACTGTAGACAATAAGGTTTTGTTTCTATTACATGAACATGTGACGTGGCATCCAACTGTTGGATCATGTTAAGCCCTTGTTAATCCAATAAGAATGCACCTCATTCTATTATTTTTTTGGCATTTTTTTGTTTTTTCTGTTATAATTGTATAATGGACTAAATTCTGATTGGTGATGATTTAAATCAATATGGACTGATTGATGAACGTTAGACAACACATAGGTACGTAACATTCTCACTTAAAAATAAATGGTTGATGATTATTTAATTTCTATTTGGACAAAATAAATATAGAAATGGGCCTAACAAATTGTTACCTCCCACTCCCTTTAAACGAGCCTGCAGCTGGCAAAAACTAGAATTAGTTCAATTACTGAATTCAGTAGCACACCCCCATCCTTTATGTTTCATAATTTTGATCCTTACTCAATTTTGCTCGTGATTTCTATTCTTTTTACTTGTAAACAATCTGGAAAAAAAATATATTTCTGACTCTTTAGTGTGTTAGAATTTTTTAGAATTTTTTTGTAGATTTTTTTAATTGATTCTCATTTTTTGTTTAAATTCTTTTGCTAATAGGCTCAAAAGAAAGACCAACACATTCACTTGCACGATTCGATCCAAGTTTTAATTATTTTTTAACAAATAAAATCCACAAAAATACTTTTCTGATTTTTATATCAAGTTAGGGATTTTTAGGATATTTTCCCTTATTTTTTCAAATTGATTTGCATTTTATTTTGAGTCGTTTTTGTGAAGTTGTTCTAATTGGTCATCGATCGATCGAAGCTTACGTTTACTAATCATCGAAGACTATTTTGAGCCGATTTTTGGATCATGATCAGAGGCTGACTTGCACATAATGTGTGTTTTGATTTGATGATTTTTGGATTGAGAATTGAAGCATATTCCCAATTATTTTGATAGTGTCGATTCTCATGCGCTTATTATGGACTATTGTTGACAAGTTTGGTAACTGCTAACGTGACTTTTGCTCACTTTCATGTGATGATAACATCACTTCCCGAGTTTTAAAGTTGTTGTTCCGATTTCTTTCCTTCATGATCCTACTTTGATTAGAGTTGTGATTTGATTGTGTAACTTCGGTCACATTTGCCTTATGGTTACTAACTTGTCTGTTGAGTTGTGCAAGGTACTTTGACAAGACTTCCAGTTGTGATTTGATTGATTCGTGTTCCACTTTATTCGTGGGTCACGAAATCGCTTCCTATGCTACTTTTCTTGTATCTTGGTTGTTTCGTATTTCACTTTATTTGTGGGATACGAACTCTCTTCTGATACGATTTATCTGGACTCGCATTCTAAAGAGATGTATATATGCATTATTGTACATTTCATCACTCTTGTATTTTTCATGCAGGAAAATTATGCAGTTGTGTCTGATACACACCGTTCGTGATTTGCTTTCACGCTGATATTTTAAGACTTATATTGATGTTTGGTGTCTGACTTGTTTTGTTTTTTGGATGCTAGATTGCTTGGAGTTTTCAGAGTTTCTCTAATTTGCTTGTTACATTGCGAACCTTTGTTCGTTTGGTATACCACTCTTCCATTTTTTCTCAGCATTTATCACTTTCTAGAAATCATGTGAAGTAGGTAGTAGGAAATAAAGAGCGTGCGCTCGAAGTCGCTGTTTAAAGACCTGTAGCAGACATTCCACACTTTATTTGCTATATGTGTTGTGCTTGTATTTGTTTACTTTCTTGTTGATCGATGAGTCACTCAATTTAGAAATTAAGATCATGACTTCGCTCTCAGTGCATGCTCCCTATAGGACTTTATCCCTTTCCTTTATTTCTTGTTGATCGATGAGTCACTCAATTTAGAAATTGAGATCACGACTTCGCTCTCAGTGCATGCTCCCTATAGGATTTTATCACTTTCCTTTATTTCTTGTTGATCAATGAGTCACTCAATTTAGAAATTGAGATCACGACTTTGCTCTCATTGCATGTTCCCTATATGATAGTTTTGTTAGACTTTCTTTGGCATGATAACCTAGATAGGATCTCTCTAGTGTGCTCTCTTAAGCATATTGGCTTGCTTGCTTGATTTCGTCTTTGTGTGCATGTTTTGAGATGACGTACCCTTAGCATGTTCCCTTAGGAGCTCTTGTCTCAACTATAGATGATGATTCAAGATAGACATAGTTTTAGGTGATAGACCCTTGCTATGCTCCTTTAGGACTTCTTGATTCATCTATAAATGATTATTTGAGATGTACATTAGGATTGTTATCCAAGCATGTCAACATAGGGTAGTGATTTCCCTTCAAAACTCAACCATAGGACCATCATTGTATGATAACATTAGAGATTGTATTTAGGCTAGTTTCCCTTAGATGTTTTTCTTTCTTTTGCATCCATGCATTAAGACTAAAAATATTTTCTTGAAAAAAGTATAAAACATCTAACAACTTCCAAATCCTTCTTCAAGGTAAAAAATATCAACCAATGTAAACTTTATGTGCCTTCGGGCTTTTCTTTCAAAATTCTTTTCAAAAGAACATGTTAATTCACTTCTGTGCTGACGCATAAGTCTCCAAACGTAGAGTTGCGGTAGAAGGCGAAATTAATATCGTTCATTAAAAAATACAAACCAACAAAAAATTTGAAGCTGAACTACGGTTACTCTGATTCCTTAAAAGGGATACGTAGGCATTGGGGTAGGGCCCGAGCGAGCACAACTTTTATTTTCCCTACATTATTCTCTCTTTTCTTTTGCATGCATTCCCTGTACAATTTAGATATAGATTAGACACACTCTTTGATTAGAATAATAAGAGTGGATACCATAGAGTAATACGGGCGTGTGGGGTGCTAATACCTTCCCCTCGCGTAACAGTCTTTCTTACCAATATCTCTTGGTCGTTCGAACTTGATTTCACCCTTATCAGGTTTACTTGATGTTTACCTTTCCCTTCTTATGGGATAAAAAACGTTCAATGGCGACTTTATTGATTTCATCATCAGTTGATTGTTCAGTCGGTTGTTTTAGCTGGCGACTTCACTGGGGACAGATAGACCTATTGCTGGTCCATCCAGGAGTCGGTCCTAGCTCTTATTTGTTTAATTCTTTGGGGTGTTTATTTATTTCCGGTTATTCATAGCTTTATATTCACCGCTTGCATATGTTTGTGTATGCATTTTACTGCTTTCCATATTGGTTATCTATTGTGATGGATCTGTTTTCATGATTGGGTGGGTGTTACTACAAGGTAAAAGGCCCAATACCCATGCCAAGTGACAACCATAGGAACACTAGGAATAGAGTGGAACAGGACGAATAGGGGATGTAGATTACCCTAGAAGGCATGTCGTCCATGCTCATATGAGGTTTTAATGAGGCACCATCATTATCACGTAGGTGTATGATGAAAGTATTCTCAAGCGAACCCATGATTTTGAGTTACCATTGCCTTACCCTGACCTAGTCTTCACCCGTGAGTGGGGCGGGAATATTTTATCACAGGTACAGATGGTGACTATTGGTTCTAATGATTATGTTCTGGATTTCTGTTGGTGACTATTGGTTCTGATGGTTATGTTCTGAATTTCCATTGGTGACTATTGGTTCTAATGGTTATGTTCTGAATTTTTATTGGTGACTATACTTCCTTGGTTCATGTTCCGAACCAGTGATCCTGGTACTAATAGGCTATGCAGATACAATACAGCAGAAATCAGTATCGTGGAAGCAGTAACCCCATGATCATTTGCACTTACATCATATCATGTTTACTTTTCGAAAAAAAACTAGAAAAATGAAACTATATACTAACCAGTATGTGAATACCATTTCCAGGTTAATTCGAGATCGTCTTTTCATCAAGAATGGACAACAACATAGGTGTAGGTAGAGAGTTGCTTAAGAAGACATCTTGTTATAGTTTTTGCGGATTTGCTTTGGCTCCATTGAGAGAGGTGGGTTCTCTTGTGACCGGGCCTAATGAGAAGATTTTCTGATTTCAACACGGGAACTTATTGCCATTATTGAATGACGGATATGAAAAGTGGGCTATGGTTTCGTTGTTGCAATTTTATGATCCACAACTGCGGTGCTTTACATTCCAGGATTATGATTTAGCCCCGACGCTCGAGGAATATGCTTACATTCTGGATATTGAGATTACTAGATGTATTCCTTTTTCCCATGTACCAGAAGTCCCTGATCACGCCGCTATCGCTAAGGAACTTTATTTGGGCCTGAGCGAAGTGAGGAATAATTGGACCAAAAAGAGTAATACACCAGGTTTCCATCTGTTTTTCTTGATATCCAAGGCTAAAGAATTCAGAGAAAATAGAAATTAGGTCGCATTCAATGCTCTGTTGGCCACTATGATCTATGGTATTGTCATATTCCCCAATATGGAGGATTTCATGGACTTCGCAACTATCAGTGTCTTCATGAATGGAAATCCCGTACCAACAATTCTGGCTGACACCTATTATGCCATCCACTCCCGAAACGGAAAAAAATGGTGTGTTGTCTGTTGTATCCCCCTTCTTTACAAATGGTTTATGACGCATATGCCTACCAAAGGACCTTTTGTTGATTCTGCAGATACTCTCTTCTGGTCGCGAAGGATCATGGCTCTCACCTCTTATGACATTGTCTGGAACAACATAAGAAACGCGAGAGAAATCATTACGAATTGTGGAACATTTCCTAATGTGGCGCTCATGGGGACTAAAGGTTGTATCAATTATAATCCTACCCTAGCACGGCGTCAATTGGGGTA